GGTATGAAGAACACAATTTGTGTAATTATAACAATGTGTAATTTATGACACAGCAATCTGTCTCTATTATTTAATGAAATGTTCTGAAGATGCTAATAATTAGTCAATTTTGTATTAAACTAGTTTTTAATATGTTGTAAACTTTGAATCTCATGAAGATTTTCACATCAGTGTGCTTTGTAATGTGCTAATAATGAAAATGACGCAGGGCCCTGAACACATCATGTGTTAATGCCTTCACTCAGAGCCTGCAGTGACCACAAAGTGTGCAGCTGATAAATGAGGGTCCACGTCCTCATGCAGACTGACAACAAGAACAGGGTTCATGAAGATAACAGAGGCAGCTTCAACAACGTCACATGTCATACAGCATCTGTAATCACAGCCTCTGAGGCCACAAAGTGAAGCATCCAGGTGTAACCACCGCTAAAGTTCACATTTATCAGTGTTTACCTTTGTGTTTGTTCATGATTAGTGCAGCCGCCCTGTTAACTGAGCGTGCTCTCATCATGTTAATGCTGTGGTGCTTCAGTACAGACCAGTCATATAACACAGTGGCACAGGGAGACTCCTCTGTGTTTGTCTGACAGAAGAACATCCGCTTCATCCATCACAGACTCGAGGCTGGACCGCCTGACTTTAACAGGAATCTGTAGCCTCAGTGCTCCACACCAGCAGGTGGCGCCAACGCACCGGGATCACGCCCTTTCACCTCCGACAGCGAAGAAGAAGTGGTGGAGTAAAAGAAGAAGAAGGGAGCGCAGAGCTGGAGTTAGCAGGTGAGGAGTGTCCCGGTTCTGTACTCTCACTTGACGGTTCCGGTCGTGTTTCCGGTTTGGTCCGGTTCCCAGCAGCGCTCGGTTCCGGTTCTGGTTAGCTGTAGCTAGCTGCTCGTTAGCTCTCCGTGCTAACAGCTGCGTTAGCCTGTGTGCTGCTAGCTGTTAGCACCAGGCTGTCGTAAATAAGCTTCCATTATCGGACAGACGCCTGTCAGTCACACCTGAGCGTGGCGTGACTCCAGCCCGGTCACTGCACAGGTGAGAGCACCTGCAGGCTGATGACGGCTGGCAGGGTCAGTGTGAGAGGCTCTGTTTGTTCTGGTCCAGATCAGGAGGTGGGTTCGTGTTGGTTCCTCAAGGTGCTTCTGATGTTGGGGTAGATCAGTGTGTCAGCCTCTATAATCCAGATGTTTGTCACATGTGGAGTCCAGCTGTAGAAGTGTGTGTGTGTCAGCGGGGAGCTGGTTCTGATTGGTCCAGGTGTTCTCCTCACAGTCACGTTAAGTGTGGAGGAGGCCTCGTGTTCATGTTGACTCCACCACAGCCTGAGGGCCCTGCAGGAGCCTCTGATGCAGAGACGTGTGCACCTTCAACCCTGTGAGGAGCGTTCAGTGTCAGAACCCTGCGATGGTTCCACGGAGGATCACGCTCAGTGGCTCAGGTGAAGGATCCAGAACACCTGCTGCTCCTCCTCCATGTTTAGAGTAGGAGGCTGAATACAGATGTTTCCACACTGTGGAGCATCAGATGTTTGAAACACGCTTTCTTGTACTTTAGACAGAAAATGTCGAGCATCGATGTCGTCCTCACTATAAGCTGTGACCCCGCCATAAAGGAAATGCCTATACTGATGTGGTGTGCAGGTGTGGCTGCCTCCATTATGAAGACGAGAGCACTTTCAAACACACAGAGTTACAGAGAGTCCCTGAACTACGTGTTCCTGCTGAGGGACTGCAGGTGGAGCTCACAGCTAAAGCTGCTTCTTTGTTTTATCATCAGGGTGTCATCGAGGTCTGTTGCCATGGAGGACCATGCTGATGTTGCCATGGAGAACAAGACAGAGGTCCCAGCCTCCGACGCCCCGTCCTCTCCTGACAAAGAGCCGGCAAAGCCCGCTGCGCGTCAGCCACACCGCCGCACCTTAGGGAGGAGGGGCCAGAGAGCAAAAAGGCGGGGTCATATAGAGAAAAAGCGGGGTCAGAAATCGAAGAGGCGGGGCCAGGAGGACAAGAAGGAGGGCGTGACGGTGAAGAGGACGTGGAGCGGCGGGAAGCGCCGTTGGGACAAGAAGCATTACTGCGTGTTCTGCCGACGGCCACAGGTGAAGATCGCACGCCACCTGCTGAGGAAGCATGCCGACGAACAGGAAGTACTGGCTGCCAGCACCCTGCCGACAGGCTCCAAAGAACGCCACCTGCTGCTGGAGCACCTGCGCTGCCGAGGCAACTATCTACACAACATCGAGGTCAGTTTGTGCATCTTACCGGTGTGTCTGCTACCAGTCAGTTTACCTGTTTCTTTCAGGTGCCTTTAGTTGTTACCTGTGCAACTAAATTAATGTACATTTGTCATGGCCATGGACTCCTGCCTTATCGAGGAGGAGAGATTCCAGAGTCTACGATGTCAGTTAATTAGGAACTCCTTTTTCAGCTAAGAAATATCTCCAAACTGCAAACATTGTTTTCTAAATGTGAGTTAGACATGATTCTTCATGCTTCTGTCTTCTCTCTTAGATCACTGTAAGTCTTTGTCTTTGAGCAAAAACAATCGTGACCGTCTCCAGCCAGAATCCTGCTGCACGGCTTTTAACTAAGACACGTAAAAGAGCATTACGTTAGGGCTTCACATCAATTCTAGCTTGAATAACACGATATCGATTCGTTAAAATCCTGAATCGATTTTGGCCGAAACACATATTTGATCTGTTCTGACGGATCAGAACCAGTGAGATGTCGGCTTTCTCACGAACACGGCATCAGGTGAGAAAGCCGACAGCCCACTGATTGTGATGCGCTGACGGGCGCGCGCTTTGTGTTTACGTCTTTTTTTGTGTTCGATTCTCATGATGCAGTTTTGTCTCTCCAACCAAAGTTGACTTAAACCATCAAGAAAAGAAGATCCAAACTACGCTTGACATTTGGCTTCACATAAACATCGTCATGAATTCCCTCTTTGGGGACTTTGGCTGTTTTGCTGCCAGAACGATAAAGTCACACTTCATGCACAGCTCTCTCTCTGTGTACTTGAAGAACAGTTTCCCATCTAAAAATCTGTTTTCTGCTTTATTCACTTGCTTATTACACAAAAGACTCATTTCTGCTGTTCAATACTGAAGAAATGTAAACTTCTTAAAATTCCAAACCCCCTGTCTGTGTCTGTAATCGTCTGTAACTTTGCTCTGCTGCACGTCAGCAGCATCAGGTAATGTTCACATGTTGATTCGTGACTTTCTTTCATTTTTGATCTACTGCAGAATATTTTTAACTGCTATAAAATCTCAGGCCAAGAAAGTCACCTTCATGTTCTTCTGTTTTATCCTCAGGCACTTTGACACAAAGACATCTGCTGTGATAAAGTCTCACATATATTTTATAGATATAAAAATGGTTATGTAATGATGAACAATCAGAAGTATAATTTTTCTGACTGTCTGAGCCAAAAAATCGAATCGTGGATCGAATCGATTCGGGACCTTGTGAATCAGAATCAAATTGATTCTAGAAATCAGTGACGGTACCCAGCCCTACATTAGTGTCACACTCATTACACTGGCTACAACTTAGAATTCATTTTAAAATCTGCCCTTTACAGCTCTGAATCATGTCCTGTCCATATTACTGATCTTTTAGAGCCTCACACTCCCTCGCGCAGCCTCAACCTGTTGGTATGTTTAAACCTGAGAGGACAGATCTGAGCGGCGTCCCCCAGGTTGTGCAGTTCTCTGGATTCCCTGGATTGTATTTATTCTTTTAAACATCATCTTAAGACTAATTTGTTTAGACTAGCTGAGTATTTGATTGTGCTGTTTTATGTTTATCTGTTTTATATTATTCTGAAGCACTATGTGGTTTTTGTCCTGTGAAGAGTGCTGTATAAATCAATAAAGTAAGTAAACCAGGTGGTGGACAGCAGAGGGGGAGGGGCCCATCAGGCTGAAGGGTCAGGGTTTGTTAGTCCGTGGTACCTCAGAGGCAGCCGACAGGTACAGGCCAAATGAGACGTGGCTCAGGCTGAAGGTAAACCTCAGGTGAGGGAGCAGTTTGGAGAGGTTTGGACAAACCGTGATTCAGGAGGAGAAAGCAGTGCTCCACCTGCACTGTGTGTAGTTTAGGTGGAGTGCTGCTGACTTCAGCTGAGGACATAATCAGACAGTGGAAGGAAACTGTAACAGTATGTCATTCAGCA